TCAAATTTATGGCACAAGTAACTTAAAATATAGGTAGAGCCAGCCAAGCAACAAATTTTTTAAGTTCATGATGATTTAACTCATACAAATTCCAACTAACGTGCTAGCTGAGTGCTAATAGTTGTGGAAGCATATACTTGAAAAGTTTCTTCAAATGCAAAAAGTAGGATTTTGTCTACGAAAAACAAATAATAGTGACAAGAATTGATCAGCAAAAACTTTTGAAGACACCCAAAGAAGTGCGTATATTTCTAAAGCAAGTACAAGGTAAACATATGATAGGGGACTCAACTTGTCGATATCATGAAATATCAGGCAGTCTTTTATGAAAAAATCATAACAATCTTATTGACTATCCACTTCTGGTTAATAACACATTTGAAGAAGCTTAAAAAAATTGCAAAGAAGACTTAATAAGTTAATTATTTTAAGATTTTGGCTTGTTAAATGAACATGGGCATAAGGTATGTCAAGCAAAAAGCAGAGATATTTCCAAGGTTGCCCTATATCTATGACAAAGTTTCCTGCTATGGACCAAAGAGGGCAGAAAGGAAGTGAAAAAAAAAAAAAACAAGAGGAAGAAGATTGAAAAGGAGAAGAAGTGGAAGGCAGCCTTTGGATGATAATAGCGCTTGCAAATTGCCTCATACATCTAAAATGCACCACTTGTGCATTCCTTACATCATAGAAGCAGCAGTGACACTCGTAATATCCACACTATGGAAAAATAAATTCTCAATAAATTTTTCTGAAGTGATGAGCAGAAGCCAAACAGTAGTGTTAGCTTCCATTCTCAAATAAACCCCAAGCCACCTCCCCATTTCCCGGTAATCCCCCATCAAGAAGAGAAAAAGGAAATCCTCTTATTAAGTAGCAGGTCTCTATATGCATTTACCAAGGAACATAAGAGATACCTTGGGAAGAGTACTGTTGTTGATGACCAGCTGCTTTTTTGGGGGTTGCCACACCGATTCGCATTGCCCTACTCGAACAATACACTCCATTCATTTCAGTTATAGATCTTGACCTCTCATTTTCATCTGCGAATCTAACAAAACCATAGCCTTTGGAACGACCAGTATTTGAATCAAAGACAACTTTTGCCCCTTTAACAGATGGATATCTACTAGCAAATGTCTCATGCAGCAAAGTATCAGTTACATCTGGAGCCAAGTCTCCAACAAAAATAGATAGATCAGAGCTCGTCTCTGCTCGCCTATCACCCGCACTAAAGGATGCCCAGTTCAAACGAAAGGGTTGATCAGTGTTTGGCATCACAGAGCCATTGTAGCTCTGCAAAACTTTCTCAGCTGCTGCCCGCGAAAAGAACTCAACAAATCCATAGCCTTCTGTCTGCCCCGTTTGTTTATTGCGAATAACCTTTACAGAAGAGACCTGCACATATATTCAGAGATGAAAGAATTAGAAAACAAGGAACATCTTTAGTGAGAAGGAAACAAGTAGTTGAAAAAGATAAAACAGCTTAACGTTATTTCTGGTTGCCTGAACAATTATGATGCCAACTACTGCAAAAAAGTAAAACTATGTGAGATAGAAGCATAGTTCACAACCAATTCATAAATTTCCCATTTCTTTGGAGATGACATGTGAGGACAAGAACATAAAAAAACTACTACATTCACAATATGCATTGACCACTGCCAATATATATATATATATATATATATGAAAGCCTTTTGCTATTTCCTACTTCCAGATAATCAGCTACAAAATGCTGGGCGCCATTTCATACCTTCCACTAAACCAACAAACAAAAGCTTCCATATCATACATGCGACAAACTTTCTGTTCTTTAGTTACAAGAACTTGTGGGCAACAAAATGATATTGAGAGATGATAGTACTAAGTAGCAACCCTGAATTTGGCAAAGAAGGATGTGCATGTTACAAACTTCGCTTCCTTGGCGCTAACATAGACTAGCCTAACAATTTAGTCTGAGCACACCCATATCAAGTGCACAAACAGGAACAAGAACTTTCTGGAAGCATGAATTGTTGCTATAAATGAAGTTTTCAACATTTACAGATAGTTTAAGATAAGTTAACTCTTTTCAGCTGATATCAGTCAAGCCACTACATTTTCAGTGGAGAGGTAGTGAGGTACCATGGGTCATAAAATTTTCAATGAAAATGATGTCTCTTAAATTAGGACCACCCATCAAAGCATAAAGCTAACCTGGTCCTCCAAGAAAACAGCAAATATTGACTCATGGGACTGTGTCACCTACATTCTTAATTCAGATTGATCCGGTTCCAATATTTCCATATAAGCACTGAGATCCAATCAAAATGAAGGGTAGGTCTTTTCCATCAATTTAGGAAGAAGTGAGTATTCTGACTCATACCCATTTCACAAAAATACTAAATTACATTAATGAACTTTCACTCATAACATCAATTGCTTTAAAACAATAAAATGATAACTGGGAATTAATTACAGAAGCTATAAGCCAAAAAAAAAGGTACGACTATTGTTCACAGTTCAGACTTTTACGACAATAACGTATTTCTTCAAAGCACATTCATTTTGTAATCATCATAAATTAAAGAACATGCCAAACCAGAATAGAAATCCATAAACCCACGTCATTAATTATACTGTTCTTAGCTGCAAGTACATAATTCCTTAAATAATCTATAAAAGCTAAGACGCGTAGACATAACGCCAACCAAGAAAATATCAACATAGACGCGTAGACAAACAAGCAGGAATTTATCGAAGCTAAACCTCCTGATCCGCCATAAAAGGAAAGTTCAAGAAATCTGAGATGCAGAAAAGTGAATAGAAGAGTGTGAGTCTGTGTATAAATAAATATGTAAGGTTAATTTACGATGCAAAACGAACCTCGCCAGTGTGGGAGAAACAGCTATGGAGATAAGTCTCATCCATCCAATGAAGAAGGTCACCAACCCAGATCGTTTTAACCTCCTCAGCAGATCCCTGCGGCTGTTGCTGCGGCAGCTGTTGCTGTTGATACGGACCTTGTTGCTGCTGCGGCTGTTGTTGTTGCTGCTGCTGTTGATGATGATGATGAGGATGAGGATACTGCGAGTAATGAAACTGATGAGCAGGATGATGAGGATGATTATAAGGCATATAGTGCTGCGGGTACATCATCATCTGCTGCTGCATCATCACCATAGCCGCCGCCGGATACTGCATAGCCGCCATCCACTGCTGCTGCGGGTGATGTGCGACCCACTGCTGAGGTGGCTGCTGCGCTTGTTGTTGCTGCTGAGCTGGCGACGGCTGCTGTTGTTTCGACGGTGGATTACCCAGATCAGGACCGTTGGCGGACTGCATCTTGATTTGATCTGTGAGATTGATTTGGTGATTTGGTTCTGGTTGGTTGCTGATGAGATCAATCTGATGGGTATCTTTCGTTCTCTCTCCCTCTCTCTCTCTCTTTCTTCCCCTCCGTAACAAGACTCTATAAATACAAAACTGTGTATGTATAGGCGCTGTATCGAGAGAGATAGAGAGAGAGAGTAGAAGTTGTTTTGCGGGAGAGAGAGATGAAATGAGAAGAGAAGAGAGGGGTTAAGAGAGGCAATGGGCTTGGTTTTAAAGGGAGGCGGTGATGGTGGTGTGTTGTGTTTTTTGGGGTTTAAGCCTCGTTTACAACGACAGCGTGTGCGTGCCGTCCCGTGATGTGAATGGGGTCCACAGTTTCCTTGTGGGGCCGCCTTGACTGATGGACGGCTCAGATCTACCCGGCGGCCCAATTGCCATACTTCAACTCTTCTCCTCATAAAAAGAAAATAATTACTGTGCTTAGTTACCATACAAGGTAATTTCATTATAATGTTTAAATTTTAGTTTATTAAATTTACCGCTAATATAATTATTTAATAATTAATATTTTTACGTTCTAATTAATAATTATTATTTTAAATTTTATTAATAATATAAAATTTATAATATTTTACTTAATAAAATTAAAATTTAAATACATAATTAAATTAAATTTTTGTGGTAATGTCTTTAATTGTGATATGTACAATGATTAAAAAATAAAATTCAATGCATTTTTTCTTTTAAAAAATATTATTTAAATTTAAAATTTATAAATTTATAACAAAATTTAATATATTATTTTAATGTGAATTAATATAATTATTTCATATTAATAATAAAAACCATATTTTAATTCTCAAAATGACTGTAAAAGTAAGTGGACCGACATGGTGGTTATCATTAAGCCTAACATTCGCCATTTATATAAAAAAAAAAACAATATGTTTATTTCTATGGGGTTTTTTTTTTTATTTGTTTACTCTTTGAAATTTTATTTTTAGTATATATTTTAGATTAATTTTTGTATGATGAATTAAATTTTGTTAAATTTTATTAATGTTAGAATTAAGGAATTTATATTAAAAAATGGTAATGATAATCCAAAATAAGTTTAATGTATAATAAATTACTAAATTAATTATCAAACTTTAGTATTTGTTGTATTTTAATTATAATACCTGGGCTCAGAAAATTGATTCAGGATAAATTTTGTTAATTTAGATATATAAAAAAAATAAAATAAAATATATTTTATAAATTAATTTAATGAAATTTTTGTTTTATTTGAGAAAAAATAAATTAGGGATGAGACTAAAAACAATTTTGGTAAAAATGGGTGAAAAATTGGGTTCGGGGATTGTTTTCGAAAGAAAAATCAGAAACTGAAGGTCAGAATGCAATTAAGAAAAATTTTAACACGTAGGACCGCCCAGTCAACAATCTCAACGAACCGGAACGCGATGCGTGGCAAGACATGCTGACTCGATGCCACGTGGGAGGCCACGTTGGCGATCCACGTGCCCTGCGATCGGATGACCCATAAGCCTTCCCTCGTTCGTGGATAATCTGGATCCGTTCCTTCATCAGTCGCGATCGAACGGTCACGATCAAACGTGATGAACGGTCTAAATTTGTTTCTTCCTTAGGCGCGATCGGACGGTCAAGATTAAAAGTAATGAACGGTTCAGATTCATTTCCTTCTTATGCGTGATTGAACAGTCGAAATTAAACACGATAAACGGTCTAAATTAACGCAAGATGAATATAAATATTTCGCATTACATTGAACCCAAACTCTAACCACCAGCCCCCCGCCGGAGAAAAAGAACCAGTCGTCGAAGAAGGGAGCCGACCACCGACCGCCGTCGTACTAGAGCCACCTCCGACTACCAAAAAAAGTAAAAATTCTCCTACCTGCTTGGAATTCGATTCCGAGCACTCTTGTAGCCATATCGAAGCAAAACAAATAGTGGGTGAGTCAAAAACTACGGGCAAAATCCGACAGAGCTGTCGCGGGCAAAATCCACAACTGCCTCCGATGAGCTCCTTTTCGTTTCTCGTTTCGTACAATTTTTTCACAGTTATGTTCACCGTTCTGTTTTCTACAGGTTGACCGAAGAAAAGCACTCAGCCGCAAAGGTGAGCTGGTGGAGCCACCGCACCGGAAAATCCCACCACCGGTAGGTTTTCATTTTTTATTTTTTTTTTCAGTCAACCGAGGTCCCCTAACGTGTTTTCTCGCAATGATGAGTATAAAATTGGCTAAAATCGGCCAAAACTGACCAAAAATGGCCAGGCTGAGGCAAACTGCCATCGTAAGCGACGGTGCTGTCGCTGGAGCACGGAAGTACTGCCGTGCTGGAACCCCGAAATTGGCCAGAAAAATATTTTTAACACCAATTTTTGGTTTTTATGATATGTTTAAGTACGTGAAGCGTGTTTTAATCTCCGCATGAAAATTTATGAAACCCAGGGACTATTAGTAGGTATAGTAGAAATTTCAGTATTTCGAACATCGATTCGGATAAAAATCTCTCACCTTTCTCTCTGTTATGGAATTAAAATTTAATCATCGATAATATGGTATTTTGTTTAATTTAAAAAATTTTGAGAATAATTACATATTACTAATGTGTAACAACCCCGGAAAATATTAAAAAGAAATGAGTATTTAAATATATCGAATGCGGAAGCGAGATCAAAATTTCAGTTAACATCCCTTACACGAAAAACCAAAAACGTACTTAAAATATAAAAGGTTAAACTAACTAAGAAAGAAAACTCGAAAATAAACTATGCGTATGACTACAGAGTCTCTAGGCATCCCCTTCGTCGTCCTCCTGCGGAACGGGCTCGGGAACCATGTCTTCCTGATCTGAAATGGTTAATTAAGGAGTGAGCTACACTAGCCCAGTAAGAACATCACGATATCTCACCGTCACGGAGATAAAGGTGGGTAGAAAAACACAAAAAGACCAATGGAGCATAATTTACAACAAACTCGTTTATTAACATGAAAACCTTTACCATCCACTTACCTTGGTGGAATTTATGAAAACAATATGAGAAAAACAATAACATTATCATAATCATTGAATAATCTAAGCTGTAAAACATAACACTTATCACGCCTCTTGTAATTCAATCATTGTACAACATATCTTTTTCTCATTTACCAGCCTACTAGTATCCGTGGGGGTCCATAGGGGTTCCGCTACCCGTTAACCTTTAACATTCATAATCAGTTTCCAGGGTCGTCCCCATACCCCGTCCGGTATGGGCGCCAAAACCATAAACCTCAATACCCCGTCCGGTATGAGGGTGAAACGGGCCGTCCCCATACCCCGTCCGGTATGGGCGCCAAAACCATAAGATCTCCATACCCCGTCCGGCATGTGAGACCACAATCCCGGTAGGGTTCCCTACGGACCCGGTCCGTCCACCATCTCCCAAGATATCTAGTCAGGCTGACCCCCATAATACAATTATCAGTCTACACAATCTTTCATTTTCCTTTTCCTCAATCAGCATCATCAATTCATATTTAAACAAGCAAATCGTAATTCATACCAAACAGACAACATACAGTATCAGTTTTTCAGTCATTCAACCCACGATTAATAAAAACGTAGTATATGCACACAAATCTGTAAAATGAACACATCAAACCTCATTTTGCATTTAAAGCTGTAAACATGCCAAATAACAGTAAATCACCAGTCACACTAGACTCGGGCTCCATTAGCCACCTTAAGCAATTTCACACATTCGTTAATTCAAGAAATACCGTTTTATCATTTTGAACTTTAATACCGTGATAGGAAATAGGGTGAGGGGTCCTTACTTGTTTTCGAGATCCGAATACGATTCACAGTGCGCCTGCAGGCCGTCCCTAATTTTCCCTGAATTTTTCCCGGGAAACTGAAACACACTAAGAGTACCTGCACGTGTTCCAAAAAAAATCCAAATTAGGCCCAGGGCCTCTTTCGGCCCAAATCGCAACTCCGGCACGGCGGCTCCGCCGTGCTCCGGCGACGGCGCCGCCGCTGGCGGCGGCGAGTCGCCTCGGGTTGGCTGTTTTCGGCCGTTTTCGGCCGAATTCGGCCACGCTCGCATTGGTCCTTGTCAGAAAACAACCCTAGGACCCTCGGGGGGCCAAAAAATCACGGAAAAACGGAGCTTACCGGCAGCGGCGCTCTCGGGTGCAGCGGCTCTCCGGCGAGGTTCGTGTTTTGGTGATTCGGCTCCGGTCAACCTGTAGAGAAAAGAATGGTGATTACGGTGATATAAAAATTGCATCGAACGGAGGCCGGGAAGGGCCTCGTCGGAGGCAAAAACCGAGAGGGGGCGCGGCGGCGCCGCTGGGCTTCGGCCGCGTATTCCGGTCGTTTGGCCGGGATTTCGGCCTCGATTTGGCCATAGGAGGAATCAGCGGGGAAAAACGAGTCGGGGGTATGAAATTTACCTCGATCGGCGGTCGGAAATTTCCCCGGTGCGGCGGCGAGTGGCGGCGGGTGGCGGCGGTCGGCCTCTGGTTCGTCTTCTCCGGCGAGCGGCTGGCGGCTAGGGTTTGTGGTCTGGTGTGGGGGTTCTATTTATAACCCCTTGCCTTTTGATCACAGCCGTTCATTTCGTTTTAATCTGGACCGTTCGTTTTTGATTGAATCTGGGCCGTCCGTGCGTTTGAATCTGGGCCGTCCGATCGCGCGATTGATCTGGGCCGTCGGATCGCACCCACGCGGATCGCCAACGTGGCTCCTTTCGGAGTGACGCGATCTTGCCACGTGGCAGGCCCTGGTTGGCCGGGACTGCTGACCGGGCCTGCTGACGTGGGCTGCTGACGTGGCCCTTTTTTTTTTTTTTTTTTTTTTTTTCCGGGTGCTACATAATGGATGCAGAACCGATTAGTTATTTATTGTTTATCCTGTTTAGCTGATTGTTTAATTTTACAGATTTAAATGCATGATAATATACTGAAATATTTAAATGATTCAGTTGTATTTCCTTAATGTACATATTATTTGTCTTGCATGATTTACGATTAATTTGTAAAATTGAAAATCAAAATGTAAACGGAAAATTGCTTAGGTAAATGAATTAATGAATGGTTGTCTCAATAGATATCTTGGGAGATGGTGGATAGACCGGATACATAGGGAATCCTACCATGAACGTTACCTCATACCGAACGGGGTATCAATGGATGATATTTTTAGCGCTCATACCGGATGGGGTATCGAGGGATAGTATTTTTAGTACTCATATCGGATGAGGTATGA